AGCCCGTCAGCATGGAGACCCCGACGACCCGTCCTCGCTGGCGGCTTCAACCGGAGGGGGGCCGCCGGCGTCCCCCGGCCCCTCGCCCCCCCTCGCCGTGCCCGGAGGAGGATACGGAGGGATCCCCGATATCCTCGGAGCGGGTGACCGAGAGACGTCGTTGGCCCCGGGGGGAATGGACGCGACGGTTGGTACCGGCGTTGCACGGCGGCGGTGCCGGCACGGAGATGCGTCGTTTGCGTTTCCGACAATTCCGGTACCAGGAGGCGTCGGGTCCGCGGGACGTTTGCCGGAGGTTGCGGGAGCTGTCGCAGGGTTGGTTACGGCCGGAGGTGAGGAGTAAGGAGCAGATCATGGAGTTGCTGGTGCTGGAGCAATTCCTCAGCATCCTGCCCGAGGAAATCCAGAGCTGGGTCTGGGTACGACATCCCGAATCCTGCGCCCAAGCCGTCGCCTTGGCCGAGAGCTTCCAGTTGGGACAGGGAGATCCCGATGGGATTTGGGAGCAGCAGGTGAGACCGGCGGACGGATCCTGTGCCGGGCGTGGGGGTTTGCGAGGAGCTTCTACCTTCCTGTTCCCCAAAACTGGGTACAACCCCCCCCTGCCCCAGCAGTGCTTCCGAGCTCATTCCCACGGGACGCCCCCAAAATTGACCCAGGGAAGGAAGGAGGGATGGGGGTCCCCGGCACCCAACACCCCTCTGCAGCCCTTTGGGTTTTTTCCTTGGGTCCCACAGGTGACGGTGCGCGTGAAGGTGGAGGAGGTGGCCCCGGGGGACGCAGAGGACGCCGAAGTGTCAGGGGACCCACCGAACCCCCCGTCGGCGTCACCCCAGTTCCCCTCTGGGGACGACTGGCGGGAGGAGGTGGCCCGGGGCAAGGTCAAGTTTGTCTCCGAGGAAGAGGAGCGGCGCCTGCAGGAAGCAGGTAATGGGGTCACCCCCCTCAAAAAAAAAAAAAGTGGGTGAAGAAGCTGCTGTAGGAGCCAGGGGAGCTTGGAGGTGGTAGGGTGTCTCCTGCGATGGGCTTGGTCCGGTCTGGTCCTCCCCAAAAATGTCCCCATGGTGTCATTGTTCTTTTTTTGGGGTGGTTTTGTTGCTCTCGAGGGAGGACGCGTGAGAGCGAAGGAGGGGAAAGGGTCAAAAATGAGGTCCCAGTGCTGGGAAAACTCTTGGGGTCTTGAGGAAGGAGAAGGACGTGACCCCAGGAAGAATCCAGAGACTCACAGCGGTGCCACCACCTGTGATCTTGAGCCCTCTTTGCGGTGTGAGAAGAAAGGTCTTGGGCTCAAAAGCCAAACTGAAGCGAGAAGAAGGCCTGGGAGATGTATCTGAGATGTCCACGCCAGTGTGGGAAGCTGGAAGATGGCCATCTCCTGAGTTGTGGAGAAGTTGGAGAAGGATGGAGATCTTGGAGTGAAGCTCATGAGCATCCATAGAGAGCTCTTGTTCTCCCCGTTGGTCCTCCGGAAACTATGAGCCCCAAAATCTTGTTCCCTTCCTCCAGCATCAGCTTCTTCACGGCGATGCTGGAAACACTGCTTTGAGGAGTTGTGGTGTTTTAGGGATTATGGTTGGAGCATGGTGGCCTTCTCTCCGAGTCATCCTGCAGCCGTCCTTGCCCCTCGGACCGGCTGGGCTCCTCTGCTGAGGTGGCTTCAGCCTCATCCCTCTCCCGGCATGGCCTGATGGCCATCTGTGGATGGATTTGGGGTTTCGCTCAACCGTGGGAGCTGGACCATCTCCACCGTTGTTGGAGGAGATCGAGGGTGGTGGGGTCGGAGGAGAAGGGTGGTGTCCTCCATTGAGAACCAACTCATGAAGCATCTTCTCCTTCCCCCTCCCCAGCAGGTCCCACCATGGCAAGCAGAGACCCGGAGGCGTCCGTTTTGCAACGGCAAGACCCCCCGCACCCAGCCGGCACCCTTCAAGGTGTCCCGACAGCCAGGACCGCTGCCCAGAGGGGGACCCACCGGCGACAGATCCCACGGGATCCCACCACCTTCCCACAGCCCCTCACCCAAGGTCCGCCCAGACCGGCAGAGGACACCAGGAGCCCGGAGAAGCCCTGGGTGAAGCGAGAGCCATCGGTGCAGGGGAAGGACCGTCCATACCCCTGCGGCGAGTGCGGCAAGAGCTTCGGCCGGTTGACCCACCTGAAGACCCACCAGCGAACCCACACGGGAGTGAAGCCCTATGCCTGCGGGGCTTGCGGCAAGAGCTTCGGCCACCTCTCTACCCTCACCACGCACCAACGGCTTCACACAGGCGAGCGTCCCTACGCCTGCGGCTCCTGCGGCAAGACCTTCACCAACCCGTCGGACCTCAACAAGCACCAACGGTCGCACACGGGCGAGCGACCCTACCCTTGCGCCGCCTGCGGCAAGCGCTTCAGCCAGCAGTCCAACCTCACCATGCACCAACGGAGCCACACCGAGGAGCGACCTTACCCCTGCGGCGCCTGCGGCAAGAGCTTCAAGTACTTGGCGGACCTGACGGTGCACGAGCGCTCGCACACGGGCGAGAGACCCTTCCCCTGTCCCCACTGCGGAAAGAGCTTCAGCAACAAGTCCTCCCTCGCCCGGCACACGCGCATCCACGCCCGGGCGGCCGCCAGGGACAAGTGATGGGGTTTGGTGGTGGGGAGGATGAGGAAGGTGACGCCGCTTCATTCCGGCGGAGGAGGTGGTGATGGGTGACCGCCGTGGGGGACGGTTGAGGTTGGGTGGGTGGGGTGGACCTGGCGGATGACCCGGATGGCCGGTGCTGGTTTCCTTGCCGGCCGGTGCCATACGGCTGCTGCAGATGGATTGGTTTGCCTGGAGGAGATGCAATATGGATGCGGGGGGGGGGGGGGGGGGGGGGGGGGGGTGGGGGTTTCTTCCCCCCCACCA